TGATTGTTGTGTCTACAATTCCAATGCTTTGGGCTGCGTGTATGACAGGAATGTCAGTATAGTCTGCATAGAATGTTTGTGTGTAGGACGCGTGCCGCCAAACAAACGGTGGCCTTATATTAGGTAAAATATATTCATTTATTCACTCACATATATAATTAACTCACAACCAGTGACACACACACACACAACACACACAGCTTCAGGGGGTCACATCGTCACACACACACACACACACAACACACACACACACACAGCTGTGTACACACAGTACACAGCTACACACAGACACACACATCATCACCACGACAGCCACACACACACACATCGTCACACACACAACACAACGCACCAACACAACCATAACACTATATTACAGCACACAGACACACACACACAACCACACACACACACACACAACACACACACACACCACACACAACATCCACACAACACACCGCGCGCGCGGCGCGCGCGCGCGCGCGGCGCGCGACAGACGCGGTTGTAATTGCCCCGCCAAAAAGTGACGTCATCGCACCATAGGGTGGAAGTGGGGTGGGGGTGTGGTGAGTCAATCGGATGTAGTTCAAGCGAACCATGAACGCTGAATGTATTTTTTCGACTATATTATAGTTGCTTTGGGGTTGGAACGGTAGCGCTGAATGAGATGGCGGGCGGGCCGAACGGACGCCGTGCGCGTGATTGAAGTGGTGTGCGTGTAACGTTACCGGTGTTTTTAAAAATCAGATTAACATCTTTAGATTGTGTCTGGGAAGAATTCGTTTTGTCTTCTCTCTGTGCGTCGCTTTCGCCATCCTTCTAAGCAAGCGCTCTCTCTCGTCCTCTGCTCTCTTCTCATCTCGTCTTCTCTTCTCTCTCTCTCTCTCCTAACACACAAACACACACATACACACCGTCACGGCACACACGCACGCAAGGCACGCATAAGTATATATATATATAAAGGGGTGACAGCGGGCCGTGTCACATGCGAGTAAACTGTCCTGAACAGCACTCAAATCCACGGGTGGAGGCTCTAATCACTCTAAATAACTCGGACAAACATGATTGCCGGCTAAAGTTGCTTATACGAGCAAAAAATATTAGTCTTTGTTGCGCCGTCGGACGAAATATTCCCTCCGCCGTTATCTGAGAGACGAGAGAGAAAGCAGAGAGCGGCGCGACGGAGAAAAAAGAGAGGGGAGACGAAAGAAGGGGAGACAGAAGAGAGAGTGGGTGGACGACGGAGAGAGAGAGAAAGAGGAGAGAGAGAAACGGGAGAGAATAAAGGAGAAAAGAGCGAGAGAGACCAGAAAGTAGTAGCTGCGGGGAGGGTGAAGAGAGAGAGAGGCGAGAAGAGAAACAGAGATCTGAGAAGAATGGTAAAGAGAGAGGAGCGAAGGCGAGCAGAGAGAGAGAGAGAGAGAGTAGAGAGAGAGAGAGAGAGCGAGAGTAGAAATGGAGCAGGAAAAATGAAGAAAAAAGTCGAGAGAGAGCCAGAAAGTGTAAAGCCGGAAGAGAGAGACGAGCGATGAGAGAAACCAAGAAAAGATCGAGAAAAATGTAGAAGAGAGAGAGAGCGAGCCGAGCGAGAGAGAGAAAAGAGAGAAAGAGAGAGAGGAGAGAGAGAGAGAGAGAGAGAGAAAGAGCGAGAGAGAGAAACGGAGAGGAAAAAGGAGAAAAGAGCGAGAGAGAGCCAAGAAAGTGTAAGCGAAGAGAGACGAGGCGAGAGAGAAACAGAAGACGAGAAAATCGTAAAGAGGAAGAGATAGAGAAGAGGGCCAAGCGGGCCCGGGAAAAAGGTGGCGCGCGGAAGGGGCGCGGGCCGGGGGGAGCCAGGGGAAGGGGGAAGGGGGGTCGGCCCCCGAAAGGGGCGAGAGAGAGAAGAGAAACGAGAGAGAAGAGAGAGATAGAGAGAGAGAAGAGAGAGAGAGCGAGAGAGTAGAGAGAGAGAGAGAGAGAGAAGGGCGAGAGGGGAGAGAGAGCGAGAGAGGGAGGCGAGAGAGAGAGAGAGTTAGAGTAAAGAAGGTTTGGGGGTCTCTCGTGCGTTATTTACTTCCAAACCATCGCTACTAGTGCGTGCCCGGCGCATGCTGCTTATAGAAGCATATGACCGTGGTCCATGATGGCCCGACGAAAGGACGAGTGGACCGCTACGCAGCAAAGCAGGGCGGTAAATAGCAGCAATGTCTACATCGACTGGAGAAAAAAATTTGAGAAACAGAAAAATAAAAGGTTTGCAATGCTCTTTTTTCTGGAAATTGATTGTTTGATGGGGATGGGGTATTGATGGCCCTGATGGGGCCACCACTCATTGCCATGGTACATCCAGTGTATAGAAGATGCTATATATCATCGCGAAGTCGGTTTCGCGAGAGGCGTTGCTTCGCTTCAAAATGTTGTGTCATTTGTGTGGGCTGTGGTACAGTAAAGAACCCGCGTATAAGAACATAGATTTTCACCAAGTTAGCCTCACATGTTCTTATATTAAATGGTGCTTACTGAAAATTAGCTCAAAAGGTTCTTAAATTGTTTCTTAATTGTTTCTAACTTTTATATGTACAGCTAAAACCCGCGCTACGCGCGGCATTAGTCACTGTGATGCATGTGTTACCAAGTACAGTAGTGTTATGTGTAAGGTGTTATATGGAGAGTTTAGTTTGTTGGCACAGTTTTTGTTTTTTTGAATGGTTAGATTAATATTATATGATATATATAATATAATATTATATATATAATATTTATATTATTGAATAGATATGATTTGTTATTGTTGAGCATTGCATTGCATTGGCATTGGCATTGTTTATTGCATCGATATTGTTGACTCGTCTTTTTTATTTTTAACCTGTGTTCTTTTAAGTCTTCATCTGATGGAAAATTAAGAAAACACTACTTTAAAATCTTAGCCCTAAAACCGGTTCTTATGTAAAGGGGTCTAAATGGGAAATTTTAGCACTAACATGTTCTTAAAAATCTATGTTCTTATACGTCGGTTTTAAACTGTATTCTCTGTGTTAGCTACTTCGCAATGAGCAAAATTTCTCGAGTCCATATCCGAAATTTGCTCGAATTAACTTGAAGTGAACTCGGTTTATTATCTCTCTTTATAAAGATATCTCTCTAACGTGTATTGCCCGATGAAGAGAGATAGATTTATCGTAAAAAGGCCTGCTGAATTTAAGAAATTAAAACAGACC